ACACACACACACACACACACACACACACACACACACACACACACACACACACACACACACACACACACGAGAAAGCATTCCTCGCTTTCATCGTTCGACGACAAATGCCACAATAATATCCACCCTCTCTAATATTGATACTCTGAATTTCATGCCGACTGCCTACAAAAGCCAATGCAAATAGGATCTTCATTGCTCGCATTTTTCCCTCGGTCGTAATTGCTTGACTCCGTCACACAGCGCGCACACACAGCGGCAGATGTATATAGTTGGCACCCGGAACCACCGGCCGGTACACAAAGGTAGCGAAGGTCGATGAGAGGCTTTGTATGAGTCGGCTACTGTCCGGCTGTTTCACGGGCTACCAACCCACGATTCTTAATAATGCAATGCATATTTTTTTGTCGAGGTTTCAACCTTGACTAAGTTGGCCGGCTTTCCTGCTGATCATGGATGATGGTGATTTATCTAGGAGGATTCGGTGTGCATGAGCGCGTATGGGATGGAAGGCACGAGTATTCACGGGTCACGGAAGGTTGACTGCGCTCGTCGCTTCTCTCGTTGATCTTTTACGTCCATGTTTGACGTTTGATGTCACCGCTGCGTTGTACTTTTCACTTCTACCAGCTTCTCACAGGTAAAGCTGCGTTCGCTCAAGACCCTTCCTATGGCTCTCGACTCTCTCTCTTCTCCTCTCGTCTCTCTCTCTCTCTCTCATCTCTCACTCATCATCTCTCTCTCTTCTCACCGTCTCGCTCTCTCTCTCTCTCGCTCTCTCTCCCTTCTTCTTTCTCTCTTTCTCTCTCTCTCTCTCTTCTTCTCTTCTCTCTCTCTCTCGACTTCTCTATCCTTTTTTCTCCTCGCTCTCCACTCTTCCTCTCAACTATCTCTCTCAACATCTCTCCTCCTCTCCTCTCTCCGTCTCTCAGTCTCTCTCTCTCTCGCTCTCTGCTCTCTCTTCTCTGCTCGCTCTCACTCTCTCTCTTCTCGCTCGCTCTCTCTCTCTCTCTCCCTCTCTCTCTCTCTTTCCTTTCTCCTCACCCATCGTTCTCTCTCCACCCATCTAGCTCTTTCTCTCTCTCTTCTCTCCCTTCTTCTCTCTCTCTCTCTTTCCCCCTCTCTGCTCCCTCTCTCTCTTCTCTCTCTTCTCACATGCTTCTCACCTCGCCTCTCTCTCCTCTCTCGCCTACCTTTCCTTTGTCCTATCTTCACATTGTCGCCTTCTCTCTCTCTCCCTCTCATCACTTCAGTAGGCTCACTCATCTCACGTCTTAACCTAACGGCCTTTAACTGCCTAATACCTAAGTGATCATTCTTCGTTTTCTCTCACACTTTCCTTTCCATTTCCTTCTCTTAGCTACGCATGCACCTTCCGTCTGCCAGACAGACATTAAAACATAACAGTCGAGTCAGTTATACTTACACGTCTGCCGGTGACCCAGATGCATTCTTGCTGTTCAGTTGGTTTACTGCTTGCGCTCGTTGTCGAAGTTTCAAACCACCTGCGCCAGTCTCGCGGCGCTCTCGACTTCCTTGCACCTCTCAGCTTCCGTCGGCAAACTCTTGCCGTCAGTGCCCATACCGGGTTCTTCTACATCTTCCAATTAAACAAGAGAACGTTGAGTGATTGAAATCTAACTCAATCATTTTGTCACGTATGGAAGAGGAGCGTTAGTGCAGTTAGGTTGGAGCAGTGCAGGTTAGGTTAGTATTGGGGTTGCGGCTGTGGAGTTTTAGGATTGGGGAGGTTAGTGATAGTTGCGTTTGGGTTGGGGCGGTAGGTTAGGGTTCGGTATTGGGCTGTTGTGGGTAGGGTTTGCTGATGGGTTAGGTTCTAGGATTGGTATTGGGGTGGCGGTTGGGTCTAGTGATTGGTTTATTGGGGTTGGAGTTGGGTTATAGAGTTGAGGGGTATAGATCAGGTTAGCGTTATGTTAGGTTAATATTAGTGTTGGAGTGCTTACGGTTCTTTTGGAAAGCACAAAGAGCGGTATAAGTTGTTTGAGGGAACAATGCGAGACGGGCACGGCAGATGAAGTACAGCAGCGGGTAGACAGAAGCGCCGGTAGAAAAGATTAGAAACGGTAGAAATAGAGAGAGAGAGAGGGGGGAGGGTTGTGAGTATCAGCGTGTACGTGGATAGGTGGACGGGGTCGAAAATACAAACCAGCGAACAACGAGTGTTGCTACTGACTTAGAAAATGCATTCAAAGAGTATAGCTAACGCAACAACCCATCCCGCGCCTGTACTCGCCCACGCATACATACACACCCGTACCTAAAATGCACTCGCCTATATACGCTGTATTTTATATCAGTCAATGTAATAATATCTCTCGATTCGCGCTCTCTTCTCTCTCTCTCCCTCACATGCACTTGAAGCGTTTCAATAAAAACTATAATGCTAAATAAATACGAAATCTATTTACTAGCCAAATTAATGTTTCTATCTACTACGACCTCTCTCTTTACCTCTACACCGTTCACCGTTTCACTGTTGCACGTTCAGTTACTGTACATATATATATAGTATCCATCACTATATATATAACTATATTATATTATATATATAATTTATTATTATATATATTGATATATAGTACTATATAATATTAGTGTTTGTAGCGTGAACAGTCGCGCGCGAAAGCAATGCAGCCGGCAGGTATGGTTCATGGAGTTAGGATTTGGTAACGGAATTTACAGGAATGTGGCAATATAGGGTGAAAAAGAGTAGGCCTTATAGAAACATTAAGTATTTGGTTGAATAGATTTCTACTTTTGTTTGTATTTTATAGACATAGTTTAGCATTATTTTTATTGAAACGCTTCAAGTGCCTGTGCTCCGGCACTCTCCCGCTCTCTCTCCTCACTCTCTATTACGTTCATACACTAACTAAGGTTCGTGAACTTCTCAGGCAGCCACTTCACCGGTAACCCGGACTGCAACCGTGTCCGTGTGTACCGCCGCCGCCGCCTCGCAGGCAGCCGAGATAAGAAGATATACAACAGTAAAGCTAACCTCGTGACGAGGACACGGGGGGTACGCGCGGGTGACGTCACTGTCACGGCGGCGAATTGGTGACGGAAGTGTCACCAACGATGATGAAGTGTGTGTGTGTGTGTGTGTGTGTGTGTGTGTGTGTGTGCGTGCGTGCGTGTGTGTGTGTGTGTGTGTGTGTGTGTGTGTGTGCGTGACGTGCGTGGGGTGGCGCGCGCTGCGGTAGGTGTGCGTGTGTTATGTGTTATGCCCGTGGTGGTGTGCGTGTGTGGGCGCGATGCGTGCGTGCGTGGTGTGTATGTGTGTGTGCGCGCGTGTATGTGTGACAGAGACTGAGTGTGGTAGTGGTGGGGCTATAAGTGCATTTATTCAAGCATATAGGCTAGAAGCTGGTCGCTGTACAGTGACAAAGCACGTGACTGATTGCTTCTAGGCATGTAGAGTGATGCGATGTTGCCGTCAGGCGTCTGCGTCAGGCGGGCTGCGTCAACGTGTCTGCGTCCGGTCTGCGTCACGCGTCTGGTCGGACGTTCTGCGTAAGCGTCTGGGTCAGCGCGGGTCGCTGCGTCGGCGTTCTCTTGCGCAGGCGTTTCTGCGTCACGCGTCATTGCCGTCAGCAAAATATCATCGCGGTCTCTCGTCTGCAAGAGCTCTTTCACGGTAGTTTCGTCAGCATCTGCGCCTAGCGCGCCACTGGTGGTGAGACTCAGCCATCGTACGCAGCGTCGGAACGTCGGCGCTGTGTTCTACATGGCATGGATCGTCGCAGTGAAAGACTGAGCACTATCAGGGGCAGTTCAACGTAGCACCCTAGTCCCCATATGTCATTACAGCAAGAGGAATGTTGCTTGCCAACAGAGGTGATTGTCCACATTTCCTACGTAGAAAGAGAATTTATTCCTCCATATCTACGGTGATGCGTTTAGGAAAGAGAAAAGGCCAAGGATTTAGGGAAAAAGAAGTAATATGGGACAAAAATTCGATTATAACTTTTTGGTTCTTTTGTGTTAAAGAGCAACGTAATACGCGCATCCGCTGACACAAGGATGGCATTATTATTTCCCCCCCCGACCCGTGTCTCTCAAATGACGATTCTGAACATAGGAGTCGGAGTCGCAGCTAGAGCGCGTACGTAATCGTAGATTTACAACAGAAACGAATGGACGCGCGTAGTACATAAAAAAATTAGGCAGAGCCTTCACTCAGGATCGTGAAGTTATAGAACACTTGCGTGTTATTTTACACAACGAGTGCGGTACATAATGGCTAGCTTTGCAGCCGGCTGGTGGGTCTTACACATTCACTGAGTTTACTCTATAAACGTATATAATCTTGCGTGTTGGATATGGCACGCGGTCAGGAAAGAACTGGATAGTCTAAACCCCTTCTTAGTCCGTGTGGCCGTCCTCTGCGCCGCTCAGCCAACATGCTGATCAGGGGCGTCGGAGCGCTTTTAAATAGGAGCGTGCTGCTACATGGCATAATGTTTTCCTCAGACATTCGCGATAGAAACTTGCATATACGCAGCTGTCAGCGGCATATAACGGGCTTGTTATCGGCGTGAAGCAGCAGCAGCCGCAGGCAGCAACGCAGGGCAGCAAGCAGCAGCGGGTAGGGGCGTGGCAGCGGCAGCGGCAGCAGGAGAACAGCAGCGGTAGTGTAGTCTAGTAAGCCGAGCAGCAGCAAGCGGGAGGCGGCGGGGCGGAGCGGCGGGCGCCAGTAGAGTAGGCACAGCAGCACACACCGAAAGAGCATGCACACAACACACCAACAGCAGCAGCAGGGAGAGGATGGAGGCAGCAGCAGCAGCAGCAGCGGAGGGGCGGTGGGCAGTAGGCGGGCAGGGCAGCGGCGGCAGCGCTAACAGAAGCGGTAGTAGTAGTAGCAGCAGCAGCAGCCAGCACAGCGGAGGGAGCAGGAGGGCGGCGGAGGAGCGGCGGCGCCAGATAGAATAGAGCGAGCACGCACCACCACACAGCAGCATCACCAACACCACACACAGGCCGACCACAGCAGCAGCAGCAGCAGGCAGGCAGGCAGCAGGCAGCAGCGTAGCAACTCGCGACTTTACCAATTACTCCAGGTATCGAGATCAGGCGAGATCACCGAAATGTGTCAGTAGGTGAAGTGGTAACACCACCACCACACCGGTTGCTGTCTACTGCTGCTGCTGCTGCTGCTTGGGCTGCTGTGCTCTGCTACTGCTGCTGCTACTGCTGGGGCTGAGCAGGCACACGCCGGCGTACTGTGCTGCTGCTGTGCTTACTATGTTGCTTACTGCTATGCTGCTGCTGCTGCTGCTACTACTGCTAAATGCTAAGCTAGCTAACTGCTTACTGATGCTGCTAAACTACGTGCTGCCGTTACTCTACTGCTGCTGCTAGCTAATGGATCTCGTGCTGCTAGCTGCTTACTACTGCGTACTGCTGCTATGTGCTACTGCTACTGCTGTCTGCTGGCTGCTGTGCTGCTACTACTGCTGTGTGCTGCTACTGTTGATGTGCTGTGCTACTATGTGTGCTACTCGGTGCTGTGCTATGGCGCCTGCTGCGTGCTACTGCTACTGCTGGGTACTGCTTGTTCTGATATGCTATACTGCTTGTGCTGCCGTGCCTACTGCTACTGATAGTGCTCTGCTGCTACGGCTACTGCTGCGCGTGCTGCTTGCTACTGCTACTACTGCCACACGCCGTGCTACTGCTATGCTATGCTGCTACTGCGCTCTGTGTACTACTGCTTGCTACTATGTAGGATGCCATCTGCTGCTACTACTGTGCTGCTGCTACTATGCTGTGCTGCATATGCTACTGTACTGCTGCTACTGCTTTGCTGTTGGCCGCTGCCGCTACTGCTATGTACTGCTAGTGTAACCTGCTAGCGGCTACTGTGGCCGCGCTGCTGTGCTATCTGGTGGCTACTGCTGCTGCCCGGCGCTGCTGTGGCTGCGCTGTGCTATGCTCTAGCTCGCTGCTCAGTACTGTACTGCTGCTGCGCCACGATGCTGATAGTACGGCTAGTTTGTTGTTTATACTGCTGTGCCACGGTGCTGATTCGCCGCCGTGCTGATGGTACGGATATTAGCTGCTAGCTGCCGAACGCTGGCTGTTCGCTGTAACGGGGTGTTGTGTATCATAGTATAGCATGGGGCAGGCAGCGTCATACTATACGAACAAAACTAGGTCACATATACCAATAATCGGTGCTGGATATGATAATACCTTTAAGAAAGTAGCAACACAAGACGCACGCGCCGCCGCACGAGCAGCCGCACAGTACTGCACGCACGCACAGACGAAGGACTGCACGCAGCGCAGAGCACGCACGAACGCAGCACGCAGTCCACGCACGCACGCCAGCACGCACGCGGTCCGTCGAGTGGAGCACGTAGCGCGGTGTACAACGGCCCAATAGTTTGGTGAGTCGTTTCACTCACTCACAGCGCTCTGACTGGCTCTGGTGAGCGACCTAATGCTTTATCAAGTACTTAGTATATCAGGAGCTT